TTATTACATTTAAAATTATAACTCTAATTCAAGCAGAATAGCCTATTGTCAACATAATTATGGAGTGTRATTTATTTTCAACTCAAAATATCTTCAAACTATCGAAATATAAAGTTATTAGTGAAGAAAACCCATCTGGATAACAGCAGACTGACTTCACGTAAAATGTACGACAGGTCTGGACCACTCGTAAATTTTGTTTGTATCTGAAAAAAATCGTAGAATACGAAAACATTGGTGAATGCCACAAATTCTCCTAAATCACTCGTATGCACAACTTAAGAACAAATCTGTGCATACGAACGGTTCTTGCATGAGGCCCAATGACAGCATTACAGCTCAACTTCTTCTTTAACGTGCTGCTGTTTTAATTTGTTGTACCAAAAACTCAGAGATGCAAATGTAAATTTAGCTTGGTGTAAAACCAGTCAAGAGCAAGTGAAAGGGCATGGCCCRTATTGCAATGTTGTGACAAGAAGTTTATCACATAACATATTGAATACAGCTCTTCTTTAAACCAGTTAGAACTGATTATTATTAAGAAAAGGTTACGTAGTGTAATTAGTACAAGAAACTGTGTCAATAGTGTTTTTGACCTACTTATACAAATACATTAATAGACAGCAGAAATGTTTCCCCAAGCCCAGATGACAAATTTAAAACTCGTGAAGAACTTTGCAGTTAAGCTAGTACCGAGATGTAAAGAAACTACATGTGGTAGTTTAATACACACAAGTAAAATATTTATGGATTTCACTTCACTACTATGTGGTGCTTGCAGATTTTATCACCACAATTGACTGAAGTCCAGGTGTTGCAATACAGAAACTTCTTCGAGGCTTATTTTCGTTTTGAAAAATACTTCTGAGTCACAAGTACAAACAAGCTGAGGATCTCATCTTGTAAGTATTGTGCATTCAGAGAAGCTCGACTGTAAAACGTTCTCCTTGGATAAAGAAATGCAAACCCACAGAGTTAGGTGGCTCTTTTATGGAAACACTTTAAGTGTTCCAGATAGTGTAAGAACTGAGTTTGATGTTAGTATTGTAAATAAGAAACAGTAAATTTTCTAGAGGGATTCTACAGTGTCTGTATGTAGGCCTCATTGTGGGGGGTTAAATTGGCCTTCTGGTTATCTGGTGACTGCACCTGAACCAGTTAGAACCTATAAAAAGTGGTGAGAGGGATTAATGTTTCCCTTTAATCACACTGATCCCAGCATTTTTTTTTTCCTGTAGGAAAAGCAACTTTGGAGCTTGGAGCTACGTGGATCCATGGTGCCAACGGGAACCCGGTTTACCACCTGGCAGAGGAAAATGGGCTACTGGAGCACACCACGGATGGAGAGAGGAGCGTGGGACGCATCAGCCTGTACACCAAGAACGGCGTGGCCCACTACCAGACCAATGTGGGCAAAAGGATCCCCAAGGACTTGGTGGAGGAGTTCAGTGATGTGTACAATGAGGTGAGGAGTCACACAGGTGCACAGACGTCTGAAAACAAGACTTACTCTGTGTTCAGCCTGCAGAACGTCCAACTTCCTGCTCCTTAACAGTCTGGTTAGCAGTAAACTAAATAAGTTAAGGTGGCCGGTTGCTTTTAAACTTGGTGGCTTAATCTCAAACTTTTACGTGAAGGTGAAAAGATTTCCATCAATGCCAAGTGGAAGAATATAAAAAAAAACGTGTAAAACCTAAAGTTCAACATTTAACTGATGTAATATTAATGCACGTTGAGAAACCATATCTTAAATATGCTACAAAAAAATCAGAGCTTTATTTCAATTCAATTCAATTCAATTCAAAGGTTTATTCATTTCATTAAAAAATACTATATACAATAATAAAAATAAACCAAAACCAAAAAATATTCAAATCAAAATAAAATGAAAAGTAGCAGAAGAAGAATAAATCTTATTTTGTCTGCCCCTTTTCGACCCAGAATATATGCAAACAAAACATAATTTACAAAACAATACTAAATAACATAAAATAATAAAAAAATAAAATAAAAAATAAAAATAAATTATATAATATTTAAAGTTAAAACAAATTCTGAACAACTGAGTCATCTTTAAAAGTCTTCTTCAACTGTAAAACTGGCAAAAGCAGTGAATTCAAAAATGAAATCTTTTTATTTCAATCATTTAAGTGCTTCTCTTGCTTCCTTTGTATGTCTCAAGCACGATTTATTTCTTTAAGTAGGTCATGTATGAAAAGGCAAATACTGAGAGAAGCTTCTGTACTCGCTGATGTCATTTAGCTGTTTTTATTGTTTGAACATATTTATTTTCTAAAGCCAAAATCATGTTATTTTTTCGTCATTCAGTATTACTTGAATTAGCTTCAAATTAAAAGCCTGTTTGGTTTCTGTTAAGAGAATCTCTTCGTTTGTTGACAACGCTTTTGTATTTACCAAAAACAGCTCAGTGTGGAGTGGGCTTGATGCAGCAGCAGCAGCCCACCACAGTGGACTAGAGGTGGGTTGGAGTGCCTCAAATGTTATTAGTGATGCTCTCGTTTAGTGGAGGCCACACATGCCATCAGTATGAAAAAAGTCATTATAAGTTCAACTCAGGTGGATTCTGTTCTCTCTAAGTCATCAGAATTTTTTTTCTTTAAAATCACAACATTTGTTTGTGAAATGAYAGAAAGCTGAATAATTTCTAAGATTTGAATTAAGATGCTTGTTAAGTTTAACCAGAACTGGGTTTGCTCCCATCCTATCTCCTTTATATAAATCACAAACAAACTGGAGGTTATTCACTTCATTCCCATGACTGCTACTTATTGTCTGAACCTAAAAAAAAGGGAAAAGCTCGTTTCAGTTTGCTGCCCCKTCCACCTGGGATTAGCTTCAATGTAATTTAAAAATGAAGGAGCGGGTTTCACTAAATGTATTTGAGGATATTTTAAAAGTTTTAGAGAGACAGTTGTAAATGTTTTAACTTAAATGAATAACTGGATGCACCATTTCTTAAGATGATATAACAGTTTATTTTATTTAAATGTTGCCTTTATTCTTATTAAATCTATTGAGTGTTAATCTGATGTGACACTCTTAAAAATAAGATTTTTAATCTCAATGAGTTTTCTCTCCTGGTGAAAATAAAGGATTATTAAAATAAATTGTGTGTGTTGTTAAAGGCAACTACAGTTCAGTAATTTTGCACAATTCTTTTTAGATAAATCTTCAAATACTGAGCAAATCCTAAACTATTGACCGTACAGTGTTTTCTCAGGATAGAAAGACTCATGTTAACCAAATGTTTCATGTTCCCAAACACAACCTTCAAGTTAGACCTGCATGTTTTGTCTGCTGCAGACTGTAAACCAGTGATTTGAGTAATTCTTTGAACTGAGAACCACCTTCATTCCCTAGAAGCTGAGGCAGTTTTTCGTCACACCAGCAGCAATGTTCTCTTTAAACATATTGATTCATACTTGATGTTGTCTCAATACAGTTTCCCGGAAAATTGTGTAAATAACTTTAAATGATTGCCCAACCCTCATGTATGTCAGAYCCCGACAGTGATGACAGTCTCTTCCTTTAGACTTCACTTTTACTTCTACTGAATTTGGCAATGTACTACTGGCTGTTGGCACTGCTTGGTTGTTATGTGTTCAATAAATGATGGATTTACTGATGAGAAGGAATCCACCYTGTCCTAGAGACATCTGCTCTAAACCAAATCAAACTGGTTTCTCTTTCATCCCGGTTTCATCTTCCTCCTTTTCGTTTACATCTCCATTTTGTCCTCTTTTAGGTGTACGAGCTGACTCAGGAGTTTTTCCAAAGCGGGAAGCCTGTTTGTGCCGAGAGCCAGAACAGCGTTGGCGTTTTTACACGAGACTTGGTGCACAAGAGGATCACGTTGGATCCAGATGATTCTGAAAACATCAAGAAGCTCAAGCTGTCAATGCTTCAGCAGTACCTCAAGGTTTGTGTGCCCTCCACGTCCATCTCAGGGAGGGACAGTGACCTGGTCACAAAAATTATGGGAGGCGGGCCATATCTGTATGGAAAATATGCACTGGATGGATTTATGAAACTCCTGGAAACTAATCATTGAAAGAGAGAGTAACTGGTAGAGAYGATTATCGCCACATTTTAAATCATCTAAACTTGATATTTGTGTGACCTCAGGTGAAACTTTCTACCCAGATTTGTATCTGAGTAGCACTGGAACAAATTCAAKGTTTTTGCACTTACTTTTTTTAGTCACGCAGAAACTCTGAGAAAACAAAACATGTTATGAACCACATAAGGTAAATGTGTGTTGGTCTAATTACAGCAGAGTATTTTTTGACTGCCTCTAAACAGAACGTGTTTTACTTGCATGTTAGAACAAGTTCAATCAGGCAGGGTTGTTTAAAGTTCCTGTGACATGCATATTCTTCAAATACAAAAAGTCAAAGAAAACATCTTTATATTTAAGAAAGTTGGAATAATACACATGATTTAACCCATTTTATCACATAATTGGCCTATTTTCTTTTGAACTTGGCTCAGCCAAAGTGAAACAGGAAGTGACATCAAAGGGGAACTCTTTACCAAAGAAAACTCTCTGGTCTTTGTTCATTGAAACAATATAATTTGAACTCTGACTCTTATTCATCTCTCTGATAGTGACTCAAAATAACCTTAAGAAACATCAGATTCTTCTTTACAGTCTGTGTTGTTGGTTGTTTTAGCAACGCTTTGTTCACATTCAGATGTTCCCCTTTGACATCACTTCCTGTTACTTCACAGGCAAATATCTCAACAACTGTTTGCCCCAGTGATGTGAAATTTCTTTTCCAATATTTTATCAATGTCCTCTTTCTAAAAATACATTCATATGTTTTGCAAAAAATTGACGTCACAGGCACTTTAAGGCTGTGGCTGTAAAATAAGATTGCGGACATGCTTTTGCAGGCTTTATTGCCTGTACAAAACAATTGTAGAATGTTTTAATTGTGCTTGGAGAATGGATTTAATGATTTCTTTGGGTTTAACACCTGTTAGTTGTTGAGTTTCCTGCTGGTGTTATTTAGAAATGTAACTGATGTGGTTTGTGTTGAAGGTGGAGAGTTGTGAGAGCAGCTCCCCCAGCATGGATGAGGTGTCTTTGAGCGAGTTTGGAGAGTGGACAGAGATACCTGGAGCCCATTATGTCATTCCTGAAGGTTTTATGAAGATTGTCGACCTCCTGGCCCAGGACATCCCGTCCCACACCATCAGCCTTTGCAAACCGGTCCGCAGCATCCACTGGAACTACTCGGCCCATCACCGAGAGGTCATTGCCAAGAGCAGCGACACCAAGCAGGTCGGCAACCATAATGACAACAACCACAGTGGCCAACCGCATGAGGACCCTCTGCTCCCGGGTCACCCCATCTGTGTGGAGTGTGAGGACGAGGAGTGGATCACTGCCGACCACGTCATCGTGACAGCTTCGCTCGGCGTCCTGAAGCAGAACCACTCGGCCATGTTCTCCCCACCTCTTCCCGAAGACAAGGTGCTCGCCATCGAGAAGCTGGGCATCAGCACCACCGACAAGATATTCCTCGAGTTCGAGGAGCCCTTCTGGAGCCCAGAGTGCAACAGCATACAATTTGTGTGGGAGGACGAGGCTCAGCTGGAACAGCTGGCCTACCCCGAGGAGCTGTGGTACAAAAAGATCTGCAGCTTCGACGTCCTCTACCCGCCCGAGCGCTACGGCTACATGCTGAGCGGTTGGATCTGTGGCCAGGAGGCGCTCTACATGGAGCGCTGCGATGACGAAACGGTGGCTGAAACCTGCACCGAGCTGCTCAGGCGCTTTACAGGTCAGCGCACACACGCACAGAAACAAATGTGATGTCTCCTTTTTCTGTAGACTTTGTGACAGAAAACTAGTTCAGCCTTGAGTGATCAAGATGGACATAATAACCTTGAGTCTTTCAGCTCCGGTGACTCATACAGGACGTGACTGAGTCATTGTCAGAGCGGCAATGACGTATCATCAGCTGTTACGTAGGCAGCTTTTTCAAAAGACAAGGTAACAAATATACAACAGCTGAATGACTCAGATGTGTGTTTTGTGCCCACTCATCATTGACTAAATGTTCTGGTGTCACTACAAAAACAGCATCGACCAGACATGTTGATATTAAGACAAAGACCCTTTTACTGACATTTGATCTGACCCTTTTCTTCTCTAATACACAGACCAAGTGTGTAAAGCTGTATTTGACTGCCTCAAATTAATAATAAATAATTTTTTTTAGAGAATTCGACTTAGCTGCGTGTGAATTACAACACAAAATGTAGCATTTTTCTATGAGTTGACTCATTGTGTACTGTTTGACTGTGGATTAGGAAGGAAGTGCAGAAGACAAGTCTGGCGACTGCTTCAGAACTRGGTCACATTGTGATCACAGAGACAGCGACTGTCACTTCATGATGTGGTCAGTGGACCAATTGTGTGTGCAGAATGAGAATTACCCAGAAAAAGACACACACCAGCGGCAGATGCTGGTCTTTCTAGAAGAGGAAGCTCCGTTTCGGCCTACATCATAAAATGTGTGGGTTATAAATTCTACCCTCCTTTCCTTTTCAAGAAAATGATCTGTGATTCTGTCACAGACCTTTTTTTAATTTATAGTATTTATTAATTTCATTTTAAAAAACAAAACATACAGCAAAACAATACAAATAAAATAAAATGAAAGGCAGCAGAAGAAGAAAAATATCTTATATC